TGCATTTCGCGCACTCGACACGCACGATCTCCGCAGAGGGTTGCGCGCGCAGCCGGCAAATCGCACTCTCGCCTGCATTTCGCGCACCCGACACGCACGATCTCCGCAGAGGGTTGCGCTTTCGGTTGACGCTGTTCGTCCCGCCCTCCGCCTTTAAGAGAGAATTTATAAAGTGGGCAAATGTTTTTTCATTAGGACATCTCCCGTGCTAGTTTTCCATTCTCACACTTGCCTACTCATTGCATGCTTGCATGCTCAAAGCATGCTTGCGTACCCATCACTTGTATACTTACACTGCGCGCTTGCCGCGTGTCAGTGTGTATGTGTAAGTGTCAATGTCGAAGTGTCAGTGTATGTAGTGCGACTGTAGTGGAAGTGTCAGTGTGTAAGTGTCAGTGTCGAAGTGTCAGTGTTCAAAGGATTTTCCGGAAGAACCCTTCGCAATGCTTTCGGGAAAAAGAAAGAAATCACATGAAAGACAAATGAATAGAAATGCTACATGGCCAGCGGAAAAGGGCGGCAGCACCAGTGACAGACCCGGGAAACAAATGAATAGAAATGCTGCATGGCCAGCGGAAAAGGGCGGACACCCCCAGCAGTGACAGACCTGGAAAACAAATTGTTGCATCGCCAGCGGAAAAGGGCGGACACCAGCAGTGACAGACGTGGGAGACAAATGAATAGAAACAGCGGAAAAGGGCGGACACCAGTGACAAGCCTGGGGACAAATGAATAGAAACGCTGCATGGCCAGCGGAATAAGGGCGGACACTAGCAGTGACAGACATGGGAGACAAGTTAATCGAAACAGCGGAAAAGGGCGGTGACAGCCCTGGGAGACAAACGAATAAAAATGTTGCATCGCCAGCGAAAAGGGCGGGCACGAGCAGTGACAGACCTAGGAGACAAATGAATAGAAATGCTACATGGCCAACGGACAAAGGGCGGACACCAGCAGCGCAGATCTGGGAGACAAAACGAATAGAAATGCTACAGGCCAGGAGAAAAGGGCGGACACCAGCAGTGACAGATGTGGCAGACAAATGAATAGAAATGCTACATGGCTGGCATGGCCAGCGGAAATGGGCGGACACCACCATTGACAGCCCTGCGAAACAAATGAATATAGATGTTGCATCGCCAGCGGAAAAGCGGGCGGACACATCTTAAGAAAGAATTGAGAAGCCCTAACAGTAAACCTTTTGGGGAATTATTCTTCAAGCGCGAACATGATGCTGGTCATGCTGCTCAATCAGCGGGGAGCTGACCACGTGAGGACAAGAAATAAAAGCATGAGGAGCCAGACATGAAATTGATTTTTGGTGCCTGACGTATGCCCTCCGTCCCAACTGAACAGAGAGATCGCTGGCAGGCATGCAATCCCGGAGACAGTCACGCACCCCTTTCAAAGGAGCAAGAACCTTTCACAGGTCAACCTGTTCCAGCGGACAGGGCGGAAAACAGCAGCGCAGGCGCCAAAACTGAAAGACAAAAAGAAAGAAATCACACGCAAGACAAATGAATAGAAATGCTACAAATGAATAGAAATGCTACATGGCCAGCGCAAAAGGGCGGCAGCACCAGTGACAGACCCGGGAAACAAATGAATAGAAATGCTGCATGGCCAGCGGAAAAGGGCGGACACCAGCAGTGACAGACCTGGACCTGGAAAACAAATGAATAGAAATGTTGCATCGCCAGCGGAAAAGGGCGGACACCAACAGTGACAGACCTGGGAGACTAATGAATAGAAATGCTGCATGGCCGACGGAAAAGGGCGGGCACAAGCAGTGACAGACCTGGGAGACAAATGAACACCGGAAAGACAAATGAATAGGAAAAGGGCGGACACCAGGAGTAACGGACCTGGGAAGCAAATGAATAGAAATGCTTCATGGCCAACGGACAAGGGCAGACACCACCAGTGACAGACCTGAAAGACAAATGAATAGAAATGCTACATGGCACCAGCAGGACACCACCAGTGACAGGCCTGGGAGACACATGAATAGAAATGCTGCATGGACAAGCCAGCCGGGAACCCGACCACAAGCACCCAGCCTGGGAGACAAATGAAAAGAACTGGGAGACAAATGAAAGGAAGTGGGAGACAAGCCGGCCGGGAACCTGACCAGACCACCAAGGCGACCATTCTTTAAAGCATTGAGAACCGCTAACAGTAAACTGTTTGGGGAATCATTTTGGAGACAAGTGAATAGACATGCTGCATGGCCAGCGGAAAGAGGGCGGACACCAACAGCGACAGGAAGGGCGGACACATTCTAAAAAAGAATTGAGAACCCCTATATAACAGTAAACTGTTTGGGAACAAACAACAATAGGGAGTCATCCGCCATTGATGAGGCGTGTCGTTGGTTGTTGGATGCGCTGGACCGCCCCCGGTCCAGGAAGTTTGCCTTTGCGCCTATGAAATGGCTACTCTCGTTGCGTCCTGCTTTTGAGCAGGCCAAGGACACATTTGTATGGCAACGAAGCTGCCGATCGTTTGGCAGACCCTGGTTCGCAACTTTGTGTCCCTCTTCCCATTGTTTGGCTTGGGTTACTCCGCCGCCACGTGCTTTAGGACAGCGCCCCGCCGACGCGGCAGTGTGCTTCAAAACCGGATGGCAGAGTCACTGTTCTTGAGGACCGGGCGCCAGGAACAGGATGATCAACTCCGCAGGTTCAACAGGCTCCACAATTCATCCTCCCGCCCTCAATCGATTTGTCCGCAAAGATCGATCCGTGGGGGACCGTCAGTGTTATTCTTGAAGCCCTCCGCAACAAATTTCCGGGAAAGCAGGAGCAGACACGGGTTTTCATCGCTTCGTTCATTCACGGTTCGGGACCGCTCTTTGATGCTGCTCCTTCTTCGCCATGTAGTTCCTTGGGCGTCACTGCGGGGCGAGACCGCACCGGTCGTTTTTTCGTTCTGGTAGACTTTGCCAAGTTTCACTTGCTGACTACTGCTGCCAGACTGCTGCTGCTGCTGCTACTACTACTACTACTACGACGACGACGACGACTACGACGACGCCGCCGACGACTGCTAGGCCTACTACTACTACTACCACCACCACTACCATTACCACTGCCACTACCACTACCACTACTACTACTACCACCACTACTACTACCACTACTATGATGACTACTACGACGACGACTAGCTACTACTACGAGCGATCGTACCAACAACACATAACTCACCACTAACCGCTAGCAACTACTTAGTGTTTGTTAGTTTTACCAAAGTTTTTTGGAAATTCCCGTGCGGGTTCAGGTTTGGTTTTGTTTCGTTTGCGGTTTTAGTGAGATGGCATGACCATCCAAAGACGACGACTGTTACTACTAGTTACTTCTACTTTCACGATTTCGATCATTCAGAACTAACAAGGGGCTCTGATTCATGAAACCAGCAGCTGTAAGAGTATGTCACCCCATGCACCGAAGGTGCACCATGAGCCTCGAGACCTTTTGGCAGTAGAAAACTGCAACGTTTTTCATTTGCATGCGTTGCAGTGAGATTTGATAGTGTTCGTATTGCATTATTCGTAACAATGCAGTTAGCAAGTGAAAGAAAAGAAACACAACATATTGATATTTGAGGTTGTTACGCTCACGGTAGACTTGCAAGACTACACCGCTACTGAACACTTGCAATTTTTTTTGGTGACCCTGTGCTCCTTACCTAACATCAAGAAAACCGGGAACTCAACTTAAGTTTCCTCATGCAGATAGGCGTCCATCCCATCACTTGACACACACAGTTTTACTGTAGTTTTACGTGCAACTTGTGACCCTAAACTTACTTGGCCTGTTGGGCGGAACTTTTGGTGAACCCGCTGAATGTCTTGAACGCAAAACCTCTTCACGAGCTTCTCCTTACAGTGTTGCTTGGGGCGTGTCCAGACAATGGGCAAGGTCTAGCTGAACCCAGAGTGAGTAGAATCCCGGAATAGTCTCCGGCAGCCCACAGATGTTTCAGTGCCTTCGACAGTTCAAGCATACGAGAGTTAATGTGCGTAGCAAGGGTATACGCCTTCGTGCACCTTGCACATTGTACATCATACATTGTAGCACAGTGCTTTGACACTGAAGTTCTGAAGCCAAACAACCACGTTTTTTGTTTGAAAACGCGATTACAAGAAATGCACTTCGAACGTCTTCGAACGTAAATCGTGCATCCAAAATTGAGTTTTCCACGTTTGCAGCAAACTAAGCTGCCATGTTTGTTGAAAACGGGTGGGTAAAACATTACGTTGTACATGTGCTTACTTCGCATCACTTCACGATATTTCTATAGGGTGTTTTTTGTGATACGGGGACCCCAACCAATGGGTGTTAGTCTATTTCCCCTCTTCAGCAGGGTCTTTGGGAGATCTCCCTGTTTGAATACACATTCATATTCAAACTGCCAGCCATAGAGCTCCCAGGACCCTCATTTCTCCTTCCATGGCATGATTTGAAAGTTTGCTAGCAGGATGGCAAAGCAGCCAAGTCCTGGAAACTGCCATCAGAAGAACCATCGCATGTGTTCACCATGTTTCACCTTATTTTCACGCAGGTGTGCCATTCTGTCCAATCCGCTCATGTGAATCGGGGTGAAACTGTCGTTTCACGTGCTGGTCATCACTCGACTCTTTGTGCAATTCTATGCAATTCTACTTGCGGACTGTGACTATCCTGCTAAGCCATGCACTGGACCCTGTGTGTGTTCACAAGTGAGGCGCTGAAAAACGAACCAGAGAAGCCAAGTTGCTCTGCAATGTTTTGAAGCGCAGGTGTCTTCCTTCAGAACACGGCTCCAGATTTGGTCCTTCGAGTACGCTGGCTTGAAGATGAGCAAGCTGGAAATTCAACTGGCAGAATACTTTGTGCAGGTTTAACAAGCCGAAGCCGAGGAATGCATTTGAGGAACGGTATGAAACTCTTCATTCTGCAGTGGCAGAAGTCAAAGACGTGCAATTCTTAGCCAAGTCAAGGCCAGCAGATCAACTTGACTCAAAAATATAAGAGTTCCTGGCTGCATTCAAGGCGTGCCATTCCTTGCAGGAGTCCTTCAGGGTGCAGAGGCAAACATTGGTATGCAGATAATTTGTTGCTTTCCAGGATTGTGAGTGCACAACTACGCTTTCCCTAGGCTGCTGGGAATGGTTCTTGGATGCGGCAATTATTTGAATGCGTGTACCCCAGCTTGCTATATGCGGCACGTGGCCACAGTATTGCCGTAACTTGCACAAAACATGGGCGAGCAGGTCAACGCATTGGACATTAGCATGTTGCAAGTCGACATAATGAAGCTGAGGCTGGAACATCACGGGGCCGGGCCGACGGCTTCTCCGTTGAGGCAATCGTTCAACAATTGATGGTCCCCACTAGCCTTGGAGCAAATAGCAATGATGCGCCAGGTGCTGGCACAGATGCGATCTTTGAAGGGCCAGGTGGCTGGGAGACATGCAATGAATCGAAGCCGAAGGGCTAAAATATTGCCTTTCATGCTCTTTTTCAATATGTTTGCATGATGAACTGGTTGGCAAGATCTTTAACCTGCTGCCAACGGCAACCTGCTGGCAGCAGGTTAAAGAGCAATGGAGTAATTATATATATATATAGTTAGTTATAATTCTCCGAACTGAACAAAGTGCGGTTCCCTTCATGTCGGAGGTTGGATATTCTTCTGGATTGGTGTCGGGCCAGCACAGTCGGTTTTGCTTTGAGTGCTTGCTCCTGGCTTGCCTTGTTTGACGCGTGCGACAGATATTTCCAAGCTGCCACTTGGGGCAGTTTTTGACCACTGCTCTGAAAGCCACAGCACCCGGTCTTGTGACAATGGCTGTGGCGGGTCTGAGGAGAGCCGACCCTGTTGCTCCAAGTTAAGAAACAACCAGCAAGCAATCAGACCACGGCTGCAAACGCAACAATTCCAACAGCTCCTGCAATGAGGCAACCGGCGGGTTTGCTTTTCTAGTCAGCGATGTGCGACTCTGCTGCTAGTTTTGTTGGGTGTTTCCTAAAGCCAAGAAAATAGAAAGAAATGAAGAAAGTGTGCGTTTGCTGCTATCACCGGGCACTGTGATGTGCCCTTTTCAGCCTGTGCCATTTGCTTTTGTCCAAAGATGTTACAGGCAGGTTCAACTTCAAGTACCACCACACTGCTTGACTTTTTGGTCACTTAGCTGACTTAGCTGTGATGTAATTCCAGCGCCTGATCTCCCACCGCCAGTCGTTCACATGATCAGGTCCGCCAAGCTGAGAAGTCCGAACCCGGCGAGCTTGCAAACCTATTTGGAGATGTTGGAGAGGCCTTCATTTTTCTAGTTCCTGAGATTCAAGTTCATTGCCTAGCTCCGTCACACACACAATTTGCTTTTGAGCGATATAACAGATATAACTAACTTCTTTGTGATGGACGATATTCTAGGTTTCAGTTTCGCAACAGCAGATTGAGTTTAGCACGTAGAGAAACCATGATGCTGTCCAAGAAGATCTTGCGATAGCCATTGACAGACACTACGTCACTACGTCGCTCTGACATCTCGAGGCAACACTGGTGCAAAAAGCTCGCCGCCACAACTTGGCAGACTTGTCTTTTGAGCTAAATGCATACCTTTCGCAGGCGAGACAAGAATGCTTCTCACCTTGCATATCAAAGCAGACCTGCAGAAAACAAACCTGTAGTTTTCAAGGGTTGTACCGTACCTGATGGTTGAAGCACTCGGAAAACTGCTACTTCAAACTTTAAACTTGATTTGATGATATTTGAGGTCTTCTCCATGTTCAAGTCTCTTTTTGCGGCATAGTTTGCATTTGCCGCTTTCTTTGAAGTATCATCTTGGATCGTGGATGCAACATATTCTGAAAGACATCGTTGGCGTATCTGCCATTCAGAGTTGAGAAAAGAACTATGGGAATAGTGAGTGAACCAGTCTCAAAAGTCAAATTAAAGAAGCCATGGAATGAAAACGCGTTCACATCGAAGAGAGCACCCGGGAAAATTGCTACTGAGAAGGGCTAGGAACTGATAATTCAATGTCACCAAAGATACCCCGCCTTGGTTTGATAGACTCTACTACATATTATATAAAGGAAAAACACTAATATTATGTCTTTTGACATGTGAGGTGGTTCTCCCGGTTTGGCCGCTCGGCTCAAAAAGCTGGGTTTCATGGGATTGTGCAACCGCTGTCACCAAGCGGCTGCAGCGGAGGGGGACACCTGGTGCTTGGCTTGCGCTGGGCACGAAGCCCTTGGGCGCGAGCTCTGCGCCGTGTGGCCCCCGGGAGCGCGGAAGGTCGTCGAAGACTTGGTGATCTCTTGTACCCGCCAAGTCAGAGCGCTCCGCAACTTTGGGCAGGCTGTGCGGAACAACGCACTTGCCGCCCAGAGCTCGGGCCGCAAGAAGGAGGTCGAGGGCACTTCGCGACAAGGTGACCGACCAGAGCTCAAACGGCGCAAGCCAGACGAGGTGGACTCCAAGCACTTAGGTGCTGAACCCAAGAGGCTGAGGGAGGCACCGCCCCCAGAGGACTCGGAGTCAGGTGTTTTTGAGGAAGAGAGTGAGGAGGAGTATCCAGAGACATCCTTGGCCCCGTTGGCCGGAAAGGACCGACGCCGTCCGCCCGAGCCTGACGGACCACCTCCGCACATTCGCAAACAGGGAGAAGGACGTGGAGATCGTCGAGAGAAGGCTGCCGACCAGAAGCATCGCAGGCCAGGAGGCCATTCGGGCAGTCAGCGGACTACTAAACCCCGTCATCGTGCAGGTCGCAAGCATCAGCGTTTGGGCAGGTTGGAGCAGGACCCAACCACTCCAATCCATCGGAAGCTATCGAGCCACTACCTGGATACCTTATCGGTTGACAAGGGCCAGGACAGCTTGAGCCGACTGCCATGACTGGCAGGCCTCATCAGGAAGGAGAAGAATTCAATTTGAACAATTTGGAACAATGGTGTTTGATTTCCCCACTCAAAGGAGACATCCTATTTGTCGACATGGCTTCAACGGATTTCACACCCCGTACAGAGGTTTGGGCGCCCTTTTTGGTCATGTCCACAGAACTTCTCAAGCAGCTAGGTACACTGGCACTCGAGGTAAAGTTCCTAGGCACCGACAACCTCGAGCTCAACCGAAAGATGTCAGGTCGCTTCAACAGAAGATCGGGTCGCTTGCATCTGTGTGGAACCATTCCGTGCCTCGAGGAGGAGGCTGGATCGTTGCACGTCACGAGATTTGTTTGGCACACACTGCCTGGTGCGGAGGGCTGGCTTACGAGCCGTGCCATTCGTTCGGCAAACAGGTGGTTGGATGGACCTTCAATCCCGGACGACCTCATCGAGGACGCAGAGCCCATGGAGGAAGCAGAGGAAAAGGAGGACAAAGGAGCCAGTGCAGAACCCAGGCCCGCAGCGGCCTCTGCACGCCCTGGGGCACTCCGCCGATCCAAGGCCGTTCACAAAGAGGCAACCGTGCAGGCAGAGGCTTTTGCAAAGAAGGCACCCAAGCCAAAGCCAGCCAAGCCGAAGGTGACTTCTGCACCATCTACGTCCACCGGCAAGGGCGTTGGAGGTGGCAGTGGAGCCAAGAGTGCCCTGGATCCTGCAAAGGTCGAGAAACTCAGAGAAGAGCTGAAACGATCCAAGCAGAAGATAGCTGGAGGAGCTCCGCCCGACCCCAGTCCTGGAGGAGAGGACTCGGGCGAGGGCGACGATACAGAGTCGGCCTCGAGTGGCTCCACTGGCTCAGGCGAGTCAGGCCCTGCAGCGGATCCGGCTCCTCTGACAGCGGGGGACACTGATGAAGACCAGGACAGGACATACCACCGCCAAAGCTATAAAAGATGGTATTACAGGAGACTTTCACGCACAGCTGATCCGCAAAGAGGCCGGCCATCAGAGCAAGAAGAAGCGATCGAGGAGCCCTTCCAGGAGGCGATCCAAGGACGCTCATCGCCGCAAGGACGATGACCAAAAGGAAAAGGCAAGTCGCAGAAGAAGGGCAAAGCAAAGAAGGACAAGGACAAGGAGTCTGCCGAGAAGTCAGGGGAGAAGTAGAGTTGTCTCACAACCATGACAGGCTGGCATCGGCCGAGCCTGGAGAGGAGAAACAGACACCGTTGTTGCACGCAGGCCTTGAGGTATTCAGCCAAGTGCTACAGACGACATCAACTCTAGGAGAACTGGGTTGTGCGCTGGGTTGGCTACTTGCAAGGATTTCACATTGTACAGACGTTGAGTTTGACAGGATGGTCATCAGAACAGTGTATGAACGCTGCTGCAGGCCACAGATCGCTTCTGCTCGGGGGGCGATCTTTCCATTGCCCTTGGGCGTGCTGGACGCCTGTGAGGACGCTTTGAGGTCCGCATCATTGGCAGAGGTTGTGACACCACGGTTCGTAGAACGCTGGCAACGTGATGCCTGGCTGTTCTGTGTTGGCGTGGGACTCAATGCCATTGGTGGCAAACTTCAGCCGCTGGCTAGGGGTGTGACGAACAAGTTGCAGACCCGTGCCGCGGCCGCCTCACGAGCGGCTGTAGAGCGCTTCCTTGGACTAGGAGGCTGCTCCGCACGAAGCCCTGACGAGATTCGAAGTGAGCTAAAAGGTATTCGCATTTCGTACACGGGGGAAGAGATGGGAACGTGCCACAAGTTGACCAGGGATCAAGTGGTTCCTGCACTCCCCCCGGGTTCTCACGGTGCGTCGGTTGATGTCATGACACTTTTATCCCCGGGGACACAGTGGTTATTGCTTCATCCTGAGAATCTCATCACCAAGGACGTCGGTCAGGAACTCCCACCCCTTCAGGCTAGAGTTCACTGTTCACAAGAGGAACTGCTCCCACTTTGTTTAGAATTGGTAGAACGACAGATCTGCACGTGGATCCCGCTTGAGTCGGTGTACAAGTATCGACAACAACCCGTTTTGTCGGGACTTTTTGGTGTTGAGAAACCAGCCAAGCTGCCAGACGGACGAAGTGTTTTGCGCTTGATCATGAATCTTGTTCCCATCAACTCGGTCATGGAAGCCATCACAGGGTGCGTTCGGCATCTCCCCTCGATCACCTCGTGGCTGGGAATTTCGACCGAGTCTGAAGACCGTTTGGGACTGTTTCAAAGTGATCTATCAGCCGCCTTCTACTTATTTAGGCTACCTCCTCAGTGGACTAGGTTCCTGGCTTTCAACGTCAAGGTGGAAGGTGCGAAGGTGGGACTTGAAGACTCCATCACATATGTACTGGCTTGTAGGGTCATCCCAATGGGATGGATTAGTTCGGTGGCCTTGATGCAGCAATTGACTGAACAGCTGCCTTACTTGGGGGGTGCTCAGATTTCCCGTGGGTCTTCACTTCCTCTATTCCTCACAGGGTGCCTTCATGAAAGCCACGCACGAGACAGACCTTGGTGGCATGTGTACTTGGACAATTTCTGTTCCGGTCAAAGGGTACAAGGCGCTGTTGATTTCCATAAAGGTCAAGAGCTCCATGACCTTGTTGAGGACGTGTGGGCTCGCACTGGGCTGGTGTCGTCGGCAAAGAAGGAGGTGTCAGGAGCTTCGTCGGCACAGGAGTTGGGCGCCTGGATAGACGGGGACCGGCACACGATTTCCGCTTCGGGAGAGCGCTTTATTCGGTTGATGCACGCCACCCTTTACTTGTTGAGTTGCAGGTTCTTGAACAGAAAAGCGGTCCAAATTGTGATAGGGCGATGGGTGCATGTCCTCCAGTTTAGACGACCCCTCATGGGACTCCTGACTCAAGTTTGGAAGTTCATATCTACCCCACATCCTTCTCCTGCCGTGGTTCTCGCGACACGGCAAGAACTTTGGAAATTGACATTGGTGACACCCTTGATGCAGACTTTCCTCGGAGCGTCAATAGATGACTGTACCACAGCATCTGATGCGTCTATGAAGGGAGGTGCAGTTGGCATTGGGCCTGAACTTAGTTTAGAGGGCAAAGACTTTGTTTTGAGCTCACAGGTCCGCAGTGGTGATATTGGTACAGTACCTATCCTGGTCATTTCCCTGTTCAATGGTATTGGAGGGTGTTTTAGAGTGTATGATGTTCTGGACATCCGGCCTCTCGGCATGATCGCGGTCGAGCTTCACAAACCAGCCATCCGCATCGTGGAACGGAGATGGCCACAGTCCAAAACCGTGCCGGATGTCCGGCTGGTGGATGCTGCTCTGATCAAACAATGGCACTTGGAATATCCAATGACAGAGGAGGTTCATATATGGGCTGGTTTTCCTTGCGTTGATTTGTCCAGGGTACGTGCCAATAGACAGGGACTGCAGGGGCCCTCATCTTCCTTAGTATATGAAATACCTAGGATTGAGGCTTTGGTCAAGGCAGAGTTCGGTTCGGGGGTACTCTACAAAAAGGTCATCGAGAACGTGTCATCCATGGACAGGGGGGCGGCTGAACAGATTTCGGAACTCTTTGGGGTCACTCCGTATGAATTGGACAGTGTCGACTCAGTGCCCATGAGACGTCCCCGCTTCACTTGGTGTTCCGAGACGCTAGAAACCGCTTTCACTGATTTGGAGGTGACCGAGTGTACCCCACTCCCAGTCAGTGGGTGACCCCCGGCTGGCAGTGGATGAGAGAAGAATCACAAACTCCGCTGCCTACGTGTATGAAGTCGATCCCTAGGGATTGTCCTCCTGTGAAGCCCGCGGGGATACGTAGATGTACACCTGACACTCTACAAAAGTGGGCTTCGGAAGCGTTTAGATTTCCTCCCTATCAATACTCTCCAGAGTTCTTGTTTTGGCAAGGTGACAGCTGGAGGGTCGCCAACTCAGAGGAGCGAGAGCTTCTGCTCGGGTATGGCTTCGGCCACACGAAACTCTGCCTCTCTGCGTCGAAGTAGAAAGAGGCGGGGGCTCGAACCGTCGAGGATGTGAGACAATCGATGCTTGGAGACAGCTTCTCTATCTACTCCTTTGTCATTCAGGGGGCTGCCCTGTGCCAGCGTTTCCTCCCACGTATCCCGTACTCATGGATGGCTCTTCGGATGGGAATGGCCCCAGGGTTTAGAGCTCCTTTGAGAAGCCGAGCACCGCTAGGCAGGTTCTTGCAGTATGGGTTTAGGGAACAGGCACAAGCAAGGTCTTACACACCCCAAGATTTGAACAGGATCTTGTTGACCAAGGTCAATCACACAGGGTCGGACATTCGGGTAGCAACAGGCGATGTGCTTAACCCCAAGGCGTTCCCACGTCAAGGAGTCGAGGCATCGTGGTGGAAGTGGCGACCAGTATTCAACCTCCGGCGGAAGCATGAAGACCACATCAATCCATTGGAACTGCGGGCCATTCTTCTTTCGATCGTGCACCATGTCCGACGCCGATCCGCTATGGACGCTCGAATTTTTCATGTCACTGACTCGTATGTTTCGATGAGTGTCATTGGGAAAGGCAGGTCAGGTTCGAAGAAGCTTCATCATGTGCTGCAACAACTCAACGCCCACCTTATGGCCTTTAACCTGTATCTAATCATTGGACATATAGAGTCAACTGAGAATCCCACGGACCATGCCTCGCGCGCATAAATGGATTCTAGGCCGCCGGTCCACCGCCGAGCGAGCCAAAGAACGCCGCGGGATTGTCTTGAAAGATTCTCTGGTTAAACCAAAGACCCTTCAGCAGTACTATAAGTACGCCCGAAAGTTGCTACCTATTGTTCGAAAGGCGCAGGATGAGCGTGATCTTGATCAACTCCTCTCAGACCATCTAGAAGATATGTGGCGTGCGGGTCGACCTTTGTACCATGCACCGGCCGGACTTTGTGGCCTACATTTCTTCATGCCATGGAGCAAAGGCAAACTGCCACAGACTTGGAAGTTGTTCCGCGTCTGGCGACGGCTGGAGGTGCCTTGCCGGGCACCCCCACTTCCTAGGGAACTTCTCTATGCGTTTGTGGGCAAGGCCATTGCTCGAGGTGATCTAATTTTTGGAGCTCTGTTACTAGCAGGTTTTGACGGACTCCTCAGAACAGGTGAACTATTAGCTCTCACAGGGGCCGACTTCCTGATTCGTAAAGACATTGGACTGGTTCGTCTGACGGATACTAAGACTTCCGCAGCCAAGGGGATTTCTGAGGTGGTTACTATCAAAAATCAGTGGACTTTGATGGTTCTTGATACATTGATGGACTATCTTCGTGAAAATCACCTTCTCCACATTCCCATTTGGCGTGGGACCAGCTCTGCCTTTCGGCAACGGTTTCGATTGTACTGTAAAGCTTTCAAGGTTCATCACATGGGATTCCGCCCATACAGCCTGCGACGGGGCGGGGCCACCGCCCTCTTTCAAGACACTCTTTCTTACGATGCTGCCTTAGATCAGGGACGATGGAACAGCATTAAAGCTGCCAAGCTGTACATTCAGGACGGGCTTGCAAGGCTGCCGACTTTGATGTTGAGTGCAGAGTCCCAGGAGCTAGTGACTTTTTGGAATCCTCTGTAGAGTTTCGAATTTTTCACAGTTTCTTCCCTTTGTCGCCCTTACCAGGGCAAGGTAGGGACCGTGGAAGAGAGTCTCCAAACAAGTTCTCAGTGAACGTTCACTTCTTTCC